TCTTAGTATCTTGTTTGACTTTGCTTATCTATGCTTAGATAAATGTAAGTCATTAAAATGCACAGCCACATTACTTCATGTGGGTTAACAAAGTAAGAAAACATCTAATAAATTCATGATTCATGGCAGTACTTGTAAAAAACAGCACACATACTTCTAACCAAGGCGCATTATATTTGAAAACCACAATCTATGTTGCAGACTTTCTTAACATAAATAGTCTACTTTTCAGAGGTGCTGAGCAACTGCAACTACTATAAAAATTGATGGGGCTCACACCAAGGTAATGTAGTGTCACTTGTCCAACTCATTTACTCTTATGAGTATAGTTACTGTGAAGATATGCACGCTTCAGTCTGGAACTATCTTCACAGCAAGCTCCCAGTTTAAAAGGCAACAAGAGACAAGCAGCTTTACACTGCTAATATAATATGTCACTGAAGTATCTGAGAGCAGAGTCAGAGCAACTAGTGCTGACCCAGGTGAAGTGGGTACTGCAGGCAGTTGTTTGTGCATTTCCTTTGTGAGAGACGAATATCCTTTCCTAGCAAAATCTTACTCTTCCTTTTGGTCTTCCTTCCTTTTTTCCCTTTCCTTTTCCTTTTTTTTCCTTTTCCTTTCTCCACCATTTTATTAAAAAGCAGAAAAACAGTGAAAATGATGGGGCTAAGAGAGAACTAACCTTCAGTGGGGCTGAAGTGAGATAGGGACATCCAACGGGGAGCAGTAAATATTTCCACCCGGCTGACTGTGATGATGAGCGGGTTAGTCTGTCTAGCTGTGCCTCACGCCCCAGTGAACTCTGCAAGTCAGGCACACTCAGGAAGGATGACTGCAGTGAGGATGAGCAGGGGAAAGCTTCTCTTACGGAAGGAGGCTAATAGACACAGGTCTGGTTAGCGTGCAGCAAATAGAGACCAGAAGGAAAGAGGATGGTTCTTCATTAATACAACCAAGAATGAAAACCAAGGAAATGGTCACTTAAGCTATAGGATGTAAGTTGCTAAAAACAAGTGGGTATACAATTCTGTGAGTCAGTTCAGGTTAGGAATCAGGTAGAGGTTTCTAAAGAGCAAAGCAAGTGAGGCCCTGTAGAGCCCCCCAGCAGCTACTCTGGCTACAGCTGCCAGCCAAGTGTTCAGCCTGTTTGTGGGAAAGCAATACTGTGGCTGTCCCCATCTCAGTCTGCCCCTCATATCCTCTGTCACATCCCCATCGCAGGAGCTCACAGGCAGGCATGGCTGTTACACAGGAGCAGCACCAAAGCTTTTGCTTCCAGAACATCAGCTGATGACCGTGGAACTTGCATGTGGGAAAAATGGTAAGGAGCCAGAGATAGAGGATGAAACCAGAAGGGAAGAGGCTGATGTGAGGGTAATGTAGCTGGCTTTGTTCTGATGTCCTAATCAAAGCTTAGCAGCATGTTATTAATCAGACACGATTTGATGTTAGGCTGTTCGGACACCGGGGATAATCAGGCCAGGCGAGTTCAGATCTTGAACATGTGAAGAAGGAAGCCACGCAAAGGAAAGTGTTGCAGTGCTTCAATTTATTTTTTTCTGAAGCATTTGCAAGTGACATTTTTCCCACAGCTGGAGAACCTTTGGCAGGGCTGGGATGGCAATGATCAATGGAGAACAATAAGCATTCTAACCCAGATCTGCATCACCAGCTCTCTAACTATAAAAAATAATTTGTTTAGCACTTCAAACTCAGTAAAATACAAAACCTCAGAGGCCACCTGCACTTGAAAGCTCTTTTGGACTAAGGCAGTGCAGGAATTTACACTCCCCGGGTTCCCTTCGAATACTTAACGTGCAGTTGACTTTTACTCCAAGAAAGACAGGTTTTCGAAACTTAATAGATTTTCAAAGGGGGGACAGTCCACACATGGAATTACTCTGAAATAACTAACTACCCACACAGGCAAGCCCTAGTAGCTAACACTGGAAGTATTTTCAGTGCTCAAGCACAGAGCCTGTGAGCAGTCACTCACATACTCTGTTTCATGCAGATGAACGTATCTATCAGGTTTCGTAGGATTGCTCATGCACATGCCAAAACATTTACAGGACTGGAGCCCTGCTTTGAAAGAGATGTGTGCTGTGCCCTTGAGTACCACCTTAAAGAAAAATACTAATCCCCAGATTGGCTGCTAGTGTATCCCACCATCTCTCCCATCTCCCTGATACCATTCCATTTAGCTCTCTCACACTCCCAGATAATGCACACATGTTCCCTCATACACAAACCCTCCGGCACCCCTTCCCCCCATGAAAAAGTCAGCCAGTTGTTATAAAATTCAGACATTTCATTAACAGAGTTTACTGGATGATACTGCCAAGGAAAATAGAGACAATTAATAATAATCAGGACTGAAGAGTCTGAGACAGCTTATGAGTAAAGGATTGTATTAGTTGTTTAAAAAGGACAAACTCGCTCCTGCCTGGAATGATGGGGAACAAAGGGTGGTGATGTATAACCAGGGAGGAAAGAGACTCTCTCTGTGGCTTTTGTAGATTACTGTGTGAATGACAGGAGAGGCAGGAGCAAATACCTCTTTTCATTTGCTCAGCCTGCTGGAGAAGAATAGCAGCTCTTGCCAATGAAGCTGCAGCTGTGCTCCAGCTCCGTTTAATCACTGTGTACGACTGAGGGTTAATTAGCTGCCATTCTTACTCCTATTTGTTGTTCTAATGAAGATTTGCATAAATGTAAGAGCAGGGGGTAACTGATACTTGATTCTTCCCTTCAGAGAGGCCAGGGGTGGAACACTTGCCCATCCTAAGTGTTTATGTTTGTGGGAGATTCAGTGTTGCCTTTCCATTTGACCTGATCTGCTTCTGGCTGATGAATAGTGAAAAAAGAGTTCAAAGTTGCTTATCAAATAGAGACTCCTGTTGTGTTTCTGCCTTTAGGAAGGACAGAGGGATTAGAAAATTACTCCCAGCTGACAGCGAGGAAAATACACATATGCATGTTTCTGTACCTACATATGTACATATATACGATAAATTTTAGTGATCTAAATCAGTGATCTATCGATCTATCTATTCATCCATCCATTTAATGGCACATAACCAATCATTTTTTAACGATAAAATATCATAATATATGCCTGTTTGAGACAGGCAGTACAACTGTAACATGTTAGGCAATACGACAAAAAGTAAGGATTTGCAGATTTTTGCAAGCCTTGTGTTGTAAATCACTAACATTCAAAGTTCACTTTTTTAATAAAAAAGTATCTAACATTAAAGGAGAAATCTCCAAGAAAGGAAAAAATGACTCAGAAGTTCACGTATACCTGCCATCAGTGCCTTGTGAGAGGGGATTCCACCATACAACTTAAGAAATTGGATTCATTCCCCCAAAAAATCAAAGGAAAATTTTAACATGAAGCAGTGAAAAAATCCAAAACTACTTCATAATTAAAGATAAGATTTGAAAATGAAAGATCATAAAATTATTTTATTTACCATGGTCAGGGCAGTGCTTATGGCTGGTACCTGAAAGAAGCTAAATGGAAGAATTTGCCATTTTTAGTATGATAACTTGTTGCACATGATAGTATAGGTAAGTGTTTTCAGTATTCCTCTTACACACTTGGTCTGCTAAAACTGTTGTTTGACAGCATTGGTGAGGATTTAAGAAAAAGATTGAGAAGGTAGAAGTAGTGAATTTCTAAATTTCCAATCACTGCTGGAAAATGTCCAATTTTCAAGATGACTGTATTCCTCTGAGGACAGGTGACCAACACAGAGCACACATTTATTGCCAGCTTCTCAATCTCAACAGCTTTGCAGTGGCTCTAGCTGCTTACCTGGTCTCTAAGGCACATGAGCAAATATTAATTTGCTTTTCTTTACATTTCTGTCATGAATCCGTCAGACTACCTACAGGCATCTCTGCATATTTTGGGGTAGACACTACCAGAAACCAACCTTTCAGAGATATAAGCAAGAGAGCATTCAATACTCCTGAAAGAAATATGCCTAAAATGGTAACATTCTATCACTCCAGCTCTTAGCTAGAGGGAACACCATAGGTTTTAACGTTACATACAGTAAGAAATGCACGTGAAAATAAAACCAGTCAATCACATTTTTGCACACTCACACCTTATTTTGAGTTTTGCAATATTTCAGTATTCTATTATAGCTTTTGATTCAGCCCTGATTACATCAGAATCTCACATTCTGCCTTTTTAAAAGCAATTTTTAGCCCTTTGGACAAATTAAAAGGAGTATTGAAGTGTACAATAAAAAACAAATTAGAAACAACCCTCATGACATAAAAATAGACCACTTAATTTTCCTTCAATGTTTCTTCAATAATTTCTACTTACTACTATTTTCCAAGGCTACAGTCAGAATTATCCATTGTAAATAGGGTAAGAGAAAGTGGAAATTAAGGATCTAATGGTCAATGGCAAAAAACAAACAAAAGAGCTGAGGGGAGAGGTTAAGTGCTGTGCTAGTTAATAAGAATGACAGCTTGCTTTGAATACTCATACTGACTGCTCAAGATATTGAATAAACCTCATTTAAACTAATTTTCATTATTTGTAGAGTCTGTGTTAGGCATCTGTCATTGTCAGTACTATTAATATTCTTTCCAGAGACCATATTATCAGCATATTTAAAGGAAAGCTTTCCTTTTCAATATTTATTAACTCATTAATATTTCTTGATAGTAATATCCTGGTTGTAATATCCAAATCAGTGCATACTAAGGTATTTTCTACTGATTAAACTTTCTGAATCAGAAGATTTTTATTCTCCAGTACTAAAAATGCACTTGAGCTCCTGGAACTTTGCTTGCTTTCTATACTATTTATATGAATGGCACACATGGTCTTATTTATACGAATGGCATTTAAAATCTACGTTTTTTTTCTTTTTTCAGTAGGTACAGTAAACCAGAGCACTGACAACATCCTAGCAGCTGATCAAATACTAACTGTGAATAAATGTGAATATGAAGTTAATTTGTCTTACCCGGGTTGCAGTCTGTGAGGAGGGAGCAGATGGAGAGGAGAACTTTAGAAATGGTTAACGCTGGACTCCAGTTGTCTTTTAAAATGTCCAGGCAGATGACGCCTTGGCTGTTAATGTTACAGTGGTAGATTCTTGTCCGAAATGTTACCTAGAAAGGACAGTGTGTCTAAGTACAACAGTGTTCAAGTCAAAGATTACACAGTTATCCATGAATTAAAAAATCAGAAGAACTAAAATTCTGCTTTCCTGGTTGAAATGAGAGTATGCTGTTACTTTCAGTCAAAAAATGGGCAAGATAAAATAGAGATAATAAAGCCTGTCTGCTGCATCTCTGACCAACACCGAAACACATTTCCTGAGCTTCCCCTTGCCTTGGTCTCATCAATCACATTATTTTTGTATGGGACCAAAAAAAGCTGTTCCATCTCCTGATCTGGACAACATTCATAATTCAAGTCAACTGCTCCTTCATGCTTTGAAGGCAGTCAGAAGACAGATTATTCTGCTGTCTTCATCTGTTCATCATTTGACCCAAAACACTAAGCTGGAAAAAAAGGGTGGAGGTATCACGTCAATGACTCCTGAAAAAGCTGAAGTGAAACATTTTTTGAGAAAGGCTGCTCAAATAAAATGCTTTTATTTCCAAATTTTAAGTTGCAGTTGTACTAATAAAACACCTTTTAGGGTTTTCTGGTAGTTGATTTTGAGGATTTCTGTATCCATTTTATACTGTCTCCCAGATGATCCTACACATAACAAACCAAAGAGGAGATCACTTCTTTTAGCCTAGAATGACGTCCTTCTGCTTCAAGTTGAAGACACAGATCTTTTTTTTTTTAAAAGAAGCTTCGCTAAGAAAGTTCACTTCATACTTCAGAATGAATACTGGGACTACTGGATAAGTAGGGACAATATGAAAAAAACACCTCTTGGAGGTCATCAAGGACTAATTTGTCCATCAGTTCTACCCAAATGACAAGTCAAACCAGATGGTTTCAATGACGAGGTCACAGAATCTAAAATCAAGGTGTACATTTTAAGGGGTCTACTCATCAGCAATAACTCTGCCAAGAGAGGGGTTGATTAGGCAGGAGACAACAGCAGGCAAAGCACACCATGACTTAGGAAAGCTCTTCATTAGAGTTGGGCAGTGCTAATAACTGGGAGTGCTTATGCACCTATCCCTGCTCTACCACACTGATAAACCTGCATCTGGAGAGTAATGAAAACTGATGGCAGGCATGCTCCTGTTCTGATTTTCCTCAATATCAGAGATTTCAGTGATTTCAGTGGGATTGAGATCAGGCCACTTAGCAGTAAGCAGAAGAGAGAATACAAGTGAAATAACACAGTACCTGGTTTACTTCTATTAAAAAAAAAAAAAATCATTCTCTAACACACTGACAAATTCCGTCCCTTTGGATTAAATCAAGAAGCTTTGACAAAATAATGGAAAGAAAAGGTAATAGATTTATGGTATTAAAATACTGCATTCAACAAGAAATACTTTTTCTCGTAATTACTTTTCCACATAAATTTGGGAAAGCACTTTTGGAGCCCACTGTCATGCACCAGTTAGTTCTGTACCAAAGACCTCTAAAAAAGCAAGTTCATCAGTTTTTAAACTATGTCTAAAGGTATTATTAATTAATAGGATAATTTCATAGTTTGCCACTCCATATCCTACATATTTATAGGTTCTTTCTTTTTTTCTTACACTTGTGGTTTTGCTTCTTGTTTTCCAGCCTAAGTGCTTCACCTCTGGGACTTTCATGAGAATTCAAAATATTTCTGGCACAATGATCTGAATTAATCCAAATGCCCTGGCCAGACGATCTATTTTTTCCTCCTCATTAGGAGGCCAAGCACATTCAGCATTTGGAGTGCAGGAAGTCCCCTGCAAGATCAAGATAATATTTATTTAAATAATAATTATTATGCGATGATAAAATGAAATGTTTGTCTACAAAGGGAAGCTATTTTGAACAATGACGGTTACAAATACACAAAAACGGTAAACTACCTTACACATAAACTGCATGGTGTGGAGGAGCATCCTGTGAATTGCAGGTCAGTGCTCATAAAGTCCCCAGGCAGGTAAACTCCAAGCACTCTTATACTCCAGTCAGAAGCGAATCAGGGAATGCGTCCTAGCAGGATGTTCCAAGACTAAGGTGAACTTCAGCATCTGCTTAATTTTAAGTATTTTATGCTTACTTTTCTGTACACTGTTGGAATAAAGTTTTTGCTTAATTCTCTTACCTGAACAAAGGTGCTTTCCTATACTTCCTTGATGAAAAATTCGAGGACTTTATTTAGTGGCATCTAAATATACTGAGTAATAAGATATATGTAGTCTCACTGAATGTGGGGGAAATGCACTGAACCCATTACACAGATTAAATTATACCCTCTGAATTATTTATAGACAGGTCAGTCTGAGCTTGTAACCTGCTTAAGGGAAGGTCATCAATTTGAGCCTGCATTTTAACGCGTAACTGTTTTGCCATCAGCTGAGAGGACACTGCCACATGTTCGTGCCTGAGCTGCTTTTGAAGCGCTGAAGCAAGGACACAGGGAATTTGGCAGGATTCAGAGAACCACTAAGATGAACGGAGGTAGTTCATGTCTTCCATAAACTGTTCAACACTCCACTGACATCTCAGACTACCTGGTGTATAAATGTAGATGGGACTACATCTGTTTGCACTTGGAAGGCTATTTTTAGAAAATGCTTAGACCTGAAAAGTAGTATTTTTTCACTATGAGCACATACTAAATCTGTGACATTGAGAAAGATAAGATAGGGCTTGCTGCTTACCACTGACAAAAATATCACTGATTAGCCAAACATGCCAGTGCACTTCAAAATGCCTGCCTAAGACAGAGGAATTTTAAATATTTAAATAATAAATGTATGAATTGATAATTATAATGTTATATTTTATTAATTAATTTTAATGTCAAAATAATAAATTCAATTATTTAATAAAAGGAATCACAGCTTTCAGAATTTCAAAAGAAGCTGTATTAATAAGCTGGAAGCTGTGGATTGAAGATGGCAGGTAATGGAGTTCTTATTCCAAGACAGTAGGCTACAACTGGGATGACACATTGCTTTCCTCATCCAGGTATTACCTCAAATTGCTGATAATGTGGGAAATGCTGACATGTAACTTTCTGGATATTGTGTTTACCATACCTACATTTTAAGGTTATGCAGGGTCACTCCTATTACATGTGTAGAGAGAAACCAAGTGATAATACCATTCCAAGGGAACTGCATTTTCTTTATTACAGTCATATTTTTACCTTTGATGTCCCTTAAATGTTTCCTCTAAACAGTGCAGTCTAATTCTATTTATCCCCTAATGAAACCACCTAAACAATCCCATGCAGAGGCTCAAGGGAGCGTGTGGTTGTACGGGCAAAGTTATTCTCAGACAATTGAATGGTAGAGGAGTAATTTATGGGGGTTTTTTGAACAATAAGTGGCCTCTATGGATCTATTTTATTTGATTCTGGAATTTAGAAGAGGGTACCTCATTTTTGTTGAATAGAAGTGTAGGTCAGAAAAATGCGAATTATGGGAAATAGGGAAAGACTGGACTACCTACCTTCTGAAAACGGCAAGAGTACTATACACAATCTTTTTAAAGGTAATGATAAGGAATTTATATTCAATCAGTTTTGGAAGAAAACAATAATAAACTCCTCTGTTTTTCCACTGCTGAATGCCAAACCCTTCTAAATCTTGTAAACCAGAATTAAACAGATAAAATCCCCCTTTATGTAGTCTCTTAGAAGAAAATGGGGTTATCTATTCAAAATGGGGAGAAAAATTATCAGAGAGAAGAAAAAGGACATGAAAAGCTATGTCTGGCTGTTCATTGAGTAAGTTTTAGGACTGAAAAAAGACTGTTTATAAAGCTTGGGAAGAGGGAATTAAGATAGATTTTAGCTGAGTGATTGGAGGCAACTGGTTGAAGGCAATATAAATAATTTCTGTATCTCAGAGTGACATTGAACACCAGTTTTCCAGTATGAGGTAGTCTTAAAATAACTTACTATCTCTCTTTTGCACTGAATGTTCCTCTGTGAGGTCTAAACCCAAGCAGCCACTGTGGTGCTGCCATCCATGTGTGCGATTTGCTTTAACCTTCACTGTGAAATTCAGAGAGAGGCACATAAAGGTAAGGGCTGATCCCTCAAACACATCTCACACACTTCCAGACTTCACTGAATTCAGTTGCAACCTTCTTCAAAAATGTATCAGGAGGAAGAAACGATTCTCCAGTGTTGCATATTAGCAAGCAAGGGGTTACAGTGTGCACTCAAGAATTGCTTTCTTCAGCCTTTTTGGGTTCAAACCCTCACCTCCTGTTTCTCATTCCTCCCACTGGAGCCTGGTGACCATGCAGGAAGAGATGAAAGATTCCCAGAGCCAACAGGAAAATAAACAAAGCCAACCTCCTTTTGCTTGGCCAACACTGGAAGCAGAGCTGAGATCCCAGGGCTCTCAATCCCACGGTTTTGGAAAGTTCCTTTCAAGCCCTTTGATTTCTTACAAGGATGGAATCCTGCATGCCTGTCTGAGATAAAACTTCTGTCTTCCTCAAATATTCCCCTGGAGTTCTGGTTTAATAAAACTGCAGTGGCACTACCTGAAGCGGAAGAAGTTGTACTGCATACAGAAAAGGTTATATATATATTAAAAAATATGATGCCATTTATGATGATGTTCGTGAAGCTCAGGAGGGAGTAAGTCATTCCCATCTCAGTTTGTCAGACTTTATGAGCAATAGATTTGTCTGCTCAAACAGAAAAAACACGATCAGGGCTACACTCTTTAGCCATAGGAGAAAAATGCTGTAAAACAACTTAAATGAAAGACAGGGTGGACCATCTCTGGTTTTAAGTATAGATTTGTAGCATGCACATGAAGAATTTTTCAGATACTTGATGAATTATCACAAGAAGTGCATAACAATAAATGACTGGCCATATGATGCTCATTATTAAAGAATACAATTTAAATTCACACCAAGAAATAAAAGTTCACTCAGTTCTTAAAGCACTTGTTTACATCTAATTTTGGTAGGTTTTCAAAAGCTATAATTTATTTTATTGAAGGACAATATATGGCAT